ATTAGCATGCCTGGATGCCAAAACCACCCGCCGAAATGTCAGAACACACGTCCAGTAGAAGCAGAATTTCTGAATACACCGAAGCAAATATATAATACTTAATTGAGAGTATCGGAGGATTTGATTTAGTTCTGTAGATGAAATCCGTCGTGTATACTGCAAAAGAAGCGTAAACTGTAAAGCTAGAAAGCAGTGTACAGATGGTTGGGTTTCATCAGTAGTGCAAATCCATCGACCCAACAGGGGATCGAATCCGGTCAGGTCGAAAAAGTTATACAGTGCTTCCTAGATTTTCCGTTCACTCTGCTGTCCCTCAACGCCCGACAAAGTCTACCTTTGGGATACTTATATATTTTTTTGTGTATTAAATGCGATTGGACCAAGAATGCATTAAAAATCCGTTCCCAATTTTCCCATAACGAATGTCTTCAGCAGTTAGTTTACCATAATGTTTTATCACACAAGTTTGTATTTGTTGTATACCCTAACAAAGCCGAACATTGCTTAAGTGTACCGTACCACTCGATTTTTCTTGGTCAAACTTGAATGAAATACCTGAATATGACAAGCACCATTTCGTGCTACTTCCGAGACTTCAACAAGAAAATAAATATGTTTAAAAACTACGTTTTGGTCTAAAATTACTTCATACAATGATAATTTCAATAAGTTAAACTTAAAAGGCGAACGACGAAAAGCGTAGTTATGTTCTGTTTGTGTAATTTCATGACATTGAAACATCCATCAAGCGATAACCGTCTGTTATTAAGGCTGTACGAGCATTGAGAAGCTTCGCTAGTGTAGGAATGCACTCCAAAAGGTGCCTAAATATTAAAAAGAATTAGAATCATCTCTTTGCGCATCAAGCTAAACAGCGACAGAAGATATTTTGCACCCGGTCATTTATCCCTCACCTTTACTCGGACATGGTTTCAAATTCATAAATTGGTTTCCTGTGTTGTATATCACAGTACACAATTGTTTGTTTCCTTGTAATATTCTTGCAAGATTTAAGGTTAGGAAGTTACCGTAGCGGAATATGAATAGGGTTTGATAACAATAGAACTACTCAAAATGTTTGCAAACCAGTGACACATTCCGGTTGAGATCAAAAGTATCCTCCGGGCCTCCAAGAACTCATTTGCATAATTGCAAATTTTATGTTGTTTTACCTGTGAAACTAATCATCGTTTAACAGCTATCTAACGTGCCGAACTATTTGCAAAAATAACTTGTTTCAGGCAAAAGTCTCACTGCCGTGTAAGTAATTTCACTAGAGCCACTTTCGCAGGGGATTTCAATATTTTTCATATTGGCCAAAATGTTTGATTTCGTATTCAGAAAACTGATTGACAACTATCAGTACTGTTTGTTTCTTGACCGTTTGTGTGTTATTCTGCTTAAGAGAGAGTTCAGAAAAGTGATGAATCTGATCGGCTGTTATTCTGTAGAAACAAGTAACTAGAAATGTTGTTCTTAGGAATTCATCCTTGAAACGCCCTTATTTTCGGAACTAGTAATGATTTTGAACCTTTTCAAATCGATACTCTATTGCTGGAACTAGCTAATTCACGCATCTCTATTACCATCCCGCGTCACAATGGAAAATTTCTTGCCTATCCGAAAATTGTATCAAACAACTGATTTTATTTAATGAGCTACTGTGACGCATTTCAGGCTATCACGAACAAACAGGCTTCGTATGGGGAAAAATGAATCCGCAACAGTTCCATATCCACCCACAAATCATAGGCATTTGGACTGAATAACCATTATGCTAAAAACTGCCCACTGCGTGCACGTGGGACCACTTGTTCAATAATTCTGGTTTGGGATCTGAATCGCGGTGAACAGAACTGCTTTCCATGAACATAAAGGTCCGATGTGAACAGCTGCATAGAAACCAGTGCCCCTGGTACATGGCTATAGAAAATCACATATTTTACGCTATAGGTCTTAGGGGTTGTTTTTTCCTCATAGTGCCTGAGAAAACTCAAAGCACGATTAGCAGTTTTATTATGGTAATATACCGTTTGAGTCTATATGCAATAAATTCACCAACGGTTTCCAGGGTTATCTAGTTTTCACTACTCATGTACCTTTAGAATTTTGTTTTAATTGCAATGGCAGGGGAGTATGCAAACATTGTTTTGGGTGGATCTAGCAAATGTAGCGGTGAAGCACGTCGGGAATGGGAGGCTGGGAAACTTATGTCAGTTACCCATTAAAAACGTATTTCCAATATTGAGTTTCTTAGAGAATGACAGAAAAAAACTTAAATTCCTATAGAGTTATGTTGAACTCAAATAGAAATTACTGATTATGACTTAACAAACCTGAATTATTTGGTTTAAGCTGTGCAAATGGAAATGAACATGATCATATACAAACTTGGTTGTATTCATGCGTGCATATGTATCGATACATACAAACATAAAATCAAGTGGATATATATTACTTTCATCGTACGGATATTCAGCTATGAACAATTGTTTTTTTGAGGACTTTTGAACCGGATTGCCGCAGTTTTTGACATCCCTAGTAATCACCGATGGAATTCCGTTTGGACTGTAAAGTGGGCTCGACATCTACACCGAGCGATTCCTCACCTATCCCAACAGTTATATTGCAGAGTTTAAGACATTATAATATTCGCTAAGATGCGGCACTATAGTTTTTATTATTTTTATGTTTTAAAGTATTTTAAACCTTAGGTTATTCATACCAACGTTCACTACCCCACTAAAACACACTTTTCAATATTAAACACGTCACTTTAATGTAAATTTCTATGAGTATTCACCAACACAGAGTCAACATTCTTATATAACAAATATTAGGAATTAGGAAGATGATGATGTTGCTGCTGAGAAAAAATATATTGCTCAGACACTTCTTTAGGTGCTTCACTATTAGCGGCCATTTCTTATCTTTTCCCTTAAGGAATAGACGTATCTGACCGTTTTGACCGAGTGCAGTGCAATTTTATCTAGTACTACTGGCACCGATCGGGTAACAATATTTCAATGAAAAAGAAAACACAGACTGTAATTCGTTTTGATTTGAAATACTTTCATCATATATTAGTTGAAAGTAATTTTTTATTATCAATTTGGAATGATCACCGTAAGATTATTAATTAAATGCTGCAAATTTTCACAATAGAGCTTATATTCTAAAAATCAGGATCACATTCCAGGATACAGTGAAATCAATCAATGCAAATGGCAATATACATACTAGGGGCAATCCTCTCTTTCTGTATTATATTCGTAAATATTTTCAAACGAGGAATATGTGAAGAATTTAACAAAATTTCCGCAGAAGCACCGCACCGGTTTTACAGTTCTTGCAGCTCCTCATGCATGCATATAGTTTTTCAGTTCATTGATATTCTTGCACTCAGACATCCGCACACTACTAATTAATGAGGAGCCTACCGAAACACCGATGTCACATCGGTTGCGGTTATAGAATCCCACCCACCTACAAAGTATAGAAAAGTGGTATCCATTCAGGAATAAACACTTTTTTGATAGGGATGTCCAAAATAGGCAGCTCTGCAATACATATACATATATACTCACATAAAAGTGAAAAACAGATTCACTTGAGTTCGTTTTGCTTGCGAAATCACCATAAGACTTCAGCAGTTGTAAACAAAGTATGTATCTCATGCCAAAGTTAGCTTTACAGTGAAACATTTATTCAAAACGGGGAAAATAATGTAATGTGTTCATCCATTTACAAGTTTTCTCCCTTAGTTTCAGTGAATTCACAGATATGAGAGGTGCATTGAGTATTATTAATTTATTTGTGTCTGTTTGTATTAGTTGGTTCAACCTAGAGTTTCATTTTTACATTTTATTGTTCAGAAAACGTTCTTTATGAGAAATTTATCGTTAAGGTACTACATTACTGGGAGATGTCTTTTTGCATCCCGAAAAACACTTTCACCTAAAGCTGGTGCTTCGATTGAGAGACACATGAAAACACACCGTGAGAGTATTGAAATCCAA